CTGGAGGAGGATTGCGTGCAAAACAACCAGTCATTCACCTTTTTTCCCCCCTTCTCTTTGTTTTTTGTCTTCCTGGATACTGTTGGGAGTGAGAAAAGCAATTTGATGCATCAGGATGCTCCCTCCCTCCTTCCTACATCCAGAAACTTGGTCCATTGTACAGTTCGGAACTCTTTGTTGTCTTTGGCTGGGCAGACAACCGTGGGTGCAAAATAGGGTTTTTGTGTAGTGCTCAGCACTCTTTCCTCTACTTTGCACTCAGTTAATTAGCCTCTTTCCCTCATTTTGTCTTTGGGGGGAAAAGACTTTCAACCGATACTAACAGAAAAAAAAAAATGGGTTAAAAATACACTTATATTGTTGTGAACATCTGATCTTTCAGTTTTTTTGGCAATAAGCATAGCTTATATATTTGTCTTTAGTTGCTTCTATTGGAGCCCTTTTTAAAAAAAAAAGCAAAGAGAAAATTTGGAACTATGTGCTCTGTTGGCACCATTGTGTCATTTTGCTAATTCTTCATGATCTGTTGTCTCTTTCCATCTACCCATGGTTATATATTTATGTCACAAGGGGGTAAAAAAAAAAAAGGCAAAGTAGAGGGTCCAACATGCAAATGAAGCCCTACACAATAACCTTAAAAAAATATGGGGGGTTGATCACAGGGTTGTAGCCATCTTCACTTTTTTAAACCCCTTACTGTGGCTACCCCGATTCATGCCTTCCATTTGTCATTACAATTCTCGCTAGTTCGGGTTAATGCTACAGTTCAGACTGTGACATATAATCTCTTCTTTTCTTAATCAAGATCAGAATAGACAAAGTAATGAAAACTGCAATGTTGCTTTCCAAATTAATATAGTTCATCAGCTTTTGATTTTCTTGATATAGCATCTAGAGTATTTGGGTCACATATTCATTTAAAAAAAAAAATACCTAGCCTGCCAGAGCATGTCCTTATATTGATTTAAGGATTAAAGACCTCAATTTTATTTGGCGAAAATGTATTTTCTCATGCTAAACCTAAGACTAGAACACTATCCTCCTGATATGATGACTTAAGGAAATGTATAATGTTCAAAGGATGCCTAATAAAAAAATATTTTTTAAATTTGGGATTGAACCATGATATTTTGCATCATCAGGCAAGTAGCCACTCATGCTTTTCTTCCAAGCACTGGGTTGTTTTGGCACTTGAGGCAGAAAACGCAGAAGAATGTCCTCTCTTTGGCAATAAACATGCAACAATGAAATATTAAATAATTAACTATGTGTTATGGCTTTCCGACAATATACTGTTACCCCATTACAGCTTGGTAAGAAAATTTATTTTTTTACTAACTTAAAAAAATAAAATTTCAGAAAATATTGAATTTCAATTCTTTATATATTAGCATATTGTTATAGTAAATTTAAAACTTAATAAATTGGCCATCTTAATTCATCCTTCAAAACAATTTTGACAGTAAACCTCCTAGGAAAAATGTGCTTGTTTTGCTATCTTACCTCCCCCTTCAATAAAACTTTTCACTGGCTACGATTCTAGGGTAACGATTATTAAAATCACTCATGATACCTGAAGGCAACAGGTGTAAGTAAGGCTTCACCAACTTTTTCTTGCATGATGCTGTAATTGCTGCAGTTCTAGAATTCAGACTCATCATGTACCAAATGTTTTAACATTAACTTAACAGATTGTAGAGCCCCCTTGACCTCAACTGGAATACTCAGATCCAAGAGATGTTAGTCAGAACATATTAAAATGCAGGCGACACAGAATATTGAACATAATGCTAGTCAGGATGACTCTAGCATCCACCGTATCACCCATTTGAGTGCAATTAATTTGGGAAGTGAAGAACAATCACCTGGGCCATTCCAATCCCTACCACCAGAGAAAGCATGGCCTTAAACAGCCCTTCTGCTAATTTTTTTCCAACCGAATATGGCTGTGGAGATTGTAAATAACCTACATGAATGGACCCTGCAGACACATTTTATCGTAAATTCATGTAGACAAATTTATATTGCAGTGCCATCACCAGAGTCCAATTCCAAATTAAGTTTTGATTGGCACTTAATTTCTAGACTTCACATCCATTACTTGCCTACTGCAGAAGGAGAAAGAGGGTACCCTTTCATCCAGGGATATGCGTAAGCCTACCCAAGGGTCACGCTTCTCTTGGAATTTATTTTGGTGTGCTGATGCATTTTTTCTGTTTCAGAAATGTAGTATGGGAGGAACTCAGAGTACAGCACATGCCCCTTATCTCCAGGAGAGCCATTACACAGACAGAAAGTCTGAAGAATCAAAACAGCTACCTATGATACTAAGCATCATAAATGTAATAATTACCACAGTTGAATACAGATGGTTACCTCTATCGAGCAATGAAAACTTAGCTCTTCTTGGTAGGGTCCATGTTCACAGGTTGCATTAAGCCAGAGTATGTTTTCTGGCATACTATGAAACTACGGCTATCGTGGCATTACTTTAATAAGTTATTAGGAACGCGGGAAAATCCTATTGTTTCTGTTTTCCTAAGAGCAGATCCACAAAAATCCTTCCTTGTTCATGAAGCAGTGACTGATCAATTTCAATCTTCCCACCTATACAATAGCTCTCGACTTATGATTTCAATGGAGCCCAAAATTTGTTGAGCGGTAAACATTTGTTAGGGTGAATTTTGCCTCATTTTACAACCTTACTTGCCACTTAAGTGAATCACTAAGTTGTTAAGTTAGTAACTTAAGTTAAGTTAGTAACACAGTTGTTAAGTGAATTTGGTTTCCCCAATGATTTTCCTTGTCAGAAGGTCGCAAAAGGGGATCACATGACCTTAACGATGAGCCAGTTGCCAAGCATCTGAATTTTTGTTCATGTGACCATGGGGATGCTGCAGTGGTCATAAGTTTGAAACACGGTCACAAGTTACTTTTTTTCAATGTCGTTGTAACGGTCACTAAATGAACTGTTGTAAGTCGAGGGCTACCTGTACTTCTGCAAAACATGACAGGGCTTATACTGGGAGTATTTTAATACTCCCAATATTTTAAGTGGGGGTGGTTTCCCCTGTAGGAATCTGACTTCCTGAGTTTTACAATTTAGCAAGGAAATTTTTGAGTGGTCAATTAAATTGAATTAAATTATCTCTAATTAACTTTTAAACTAAGCAATTTCAGCTACTAGAAAAAATCCCCCCTAATGGAAAGGAACTATACCTGCCCAGGAGCCAAAAGTTGTAGATGTCTCTGCATGGCCAGATCAGTCAAGACTAAAGGATCATGGTCCAAGACGGGGCGTGGCAACTTTGGCTGACTGATCTGATTGGCCAGGAATACAGTCTCAACCCACTGCGTGGATTATCCATCTCCAGTGCTGGAGAATGATTGGTTTTCTGATGCAAAAAAGGTTGAAGATACTCAGTACTACTGACATACCTAAGCTTTCCTACTCAGCAATGGAAAGAATTGATATCAAGGAATCTTCTGTTACAGCAGAAGCCAAATCAATGCATCACTCCACCAAGAAGCATTCACGGACAAGTACTGCACTGCTAGTGTAAGCGTGATCATAGGCTTTGTGCAACTTGGCACCCTCCAGATGTGCTGCACTGCAGCTCACATTATTCCTAACCAACACACTTGTTGAAACTGCTGACTGAACTGATAAGGAATTGCAGTTACCGTAAATGCCGGCGTATAAGGCGACTTCCGCGAGCGCTGAAATCGGCGCCAAAGACGGGGGTCGTCTTATACGCCGAGTCGTCTTATACACCGGAAATACTGGTAGTTTCCGGCGTATAAGACGACGTTCTAGGAATGCGGTCCGGCTATAAAGACGGGGGTCGTCTTAGACGCCGGGTCGCCTTGTACGCCGGCATTTACGGTAAATATCTGGAATATGAAGATCTGAGGAAGATTGCATTGATCACCAGCTTAACTTCAGGGATGATTTATTCACTGGGAATGTAAGCTTCAAAATTGTGTCCCAGTTTAGAAGAGCAGATTAAAAACAATCAAACAAAGCCAATATTCTGGTAGGCACTGCTCATGGGGGTTTCCCTTGTAGGCTTTAGCAAATGATAACTTACATGCATTAGAAACACCCCACCCCATGTTAATTACCCTCATTGGCCTTTCATGCATCCCAGCAGCAGTGGAATCACAATACAACACAACAAAAACTAATTCATGTATGAAAAAAAAATGTAATACGGGAAGACATACTTCAGAAAAAGATGAATTTGTAAATTTGCTCGTAAATGATAGTCAGCCACCTCCTAATAAAAGTATTACATCCCTGCCCCTTTGGGGTTTTATCTATTGGATTAACGTAGCTTCAATGATTTTTATATCATAAAATACATATTGCTATCTAAAAGTAACACTATCCTCCTGGCAATATTTTCCTCCCAAGTACTTAATGTTTATACAATATTGTTCTGAGTAGGTTATGGGATTAGTAAAATGACTATTATAAATAATAATCTCTTCCAAGGAGAAGCTAATATGCTAATGACAATTTAAGATTCCCACTGTGACTTAAACTCTAATTGTTCCATCAGCTCTAAACCTAACCCAAACTCATTGCCCTGCTTCTCAGGCAGAAGAAGTACTCCCCAAATTCTTAAGAGGGAAATGTCAGCCCTCCTCCCACTCATGCAAGTACATATTTACACAATTCTTTATTCTTCTCTGATATTTATATTAGACCAAATTGGTCAATTCTGTACACCTTAGATGTATTTCCTTTGCAGGATTTCCTTCCCACCCTCTCCCCCACCTAATATTCCAATCTTTTCTGAAGTGACTTCCTACTGCTTTTTCCCCCTCCTGTAATATCCATGCCATATTTACCCCAAAGACCTTTTCACATTACATGAAACTGAACAAATATTAAAAAAAATGATATCATGAGAAAATGCATAGAAGCTCTGCATAATAACCACAATCCTAAGAATAGTGACAGTGATTGCAATGGGAGAGATATAAGTATGTACCTCTTTCGTTGCCCCATAACCCGCTCTGTAAGAGATAGATTTCTTCCAGAGTTGCTGAAAGGATAAGAGCACTGGTCAAGTTTACAGAAAATTGATTTCCAGCTTGCAAATAACAATGACAAGTTCATTCAAAAATTGCAGAGCTCATACTGGCTTTGGCTGAAGCTATACAAATGCATATGGATTTTCATATCTTTTTACTGTAGTACAGATGCTTAATATTTGTGCTAGCCAAAATGCACGGGAAAGAGTTTAAGGATGATCATTTTTACCACCTTTGGTTTCTTATTTCCAATTATATTGCTTTTATCCATGGAACTGGCACTATGTTTTTTTTTAATAAAGATTTAATAATAAACCGAATTGTTCCTTTGGTGAACAGTCTCCAGAAAGCCCATAAGCTAACTTGTTTTTAATGGTTCAAGAAAAAAAAAAACACAACCATCTTTGCTGTTAATTTTTCCATTAAAATAATTGAATATTAGAAGTTAAACAATGCTTCACCCTGGTAATATATGTCCAATATGTATCAATGATAATCTAAGCATTCACAACACAGATGGAAAGCAAATATATTAAATAAATACTGAAAAATAATCTGGATAATGTCAGCATGCAATAGTAACCTAAGGGGAAAAAATCACTGCAGAAAACGATTTAATTATTAAAATGAAGTCAGGTTTACTGACAGGCTGGGTAACTTGCATTCGGAGAACTTCCTTTTTTTAACTCTTTATTTTTATTTATTGTGACTAGCTCTCTTTCTGCAGAAGGCATCTATAGTACTTCACTATTTCAGTGAAGTACTATAGTGATACAGGCAGTCCTCACTTACTGACCACTCATTCAGCAACCATTCGAAGACACAACAGCACTGAATAATGAAACTTACATCCTGTTGTCAAAGCTGCAGTTGCCACAGCATCCCTAATTGTCATTTGTGACTTTCACACTTGGCAACGATTGCAGCCAGAACTAAGATCATAAGCCAGTGCCATCATGTGATGTTTCACTTCTTTATGACATCATTTAGCAATGGAGCCACTAGTCCCCATTGTGGTCAGTAAGTAAGGACCTATCTGTACTTAGAAAAGGATGGAACTCCTCTCTATATTTTTTTGATATATACTACTTGCAGTTCAAGTATAACATTGTAAATAAGTTGGGGAGAAAATAGAGAGAAGACCATCAGTAAGTATAGGAATAAGAATGGCCATTCTTTTACTAGAATCTTAACCCGAAGAGTTTTGGCAAGGAAGCAAAGCCAAGCTGCATTGAAATACATTATGAACAGAAAGTAAAATTCATACTTCATCCTCAAGAGAAAAAAAATGCAGTGCTTTCTTGGTGTATCTAAATCCAATAGCAAATGGGAGAAGGACAATACAAAAACCAAATTCTTTTGTGAAACAATTTTAACTAAACCTCTCACTTGCAAAAGTCTGACTTTTGCTACATTTGATACCATTTAACAGGTAACATAAACAATTACTAGCAGATTTCCAATTTAAACATGAGTTTATTTTGCAGGGTTCATAAAAAAGAAAGTTTTTCGCTGGAAAAGAACTGGCAAACATTTAGGGTGTAACAGGACACGTTACAGGTAGTCCTCGGCTTATGACAATTGAGGCTAGAATTTCAGTCACTAAGTGATGCAGACATTAAGCGAATCATCACGTGACTGGACCACAATTTATAACTATTTTTACCACCATTGTTAAGCCAATCATGTGCTTGTGAAGTTAATTCCCATGGTCGTTTAAGTGAATCCAGCTCCCTTTGCTTGTTGGAAGCCAAACTGGAAAGGTCACAAATGGCAACCATTGTGATTGCAACCATTGTGAAGGTGAGCTGGTTGTCAAACGCCCATATTCAGATCATGTGACTGTGGAGGCTGTATGAAGATTGTAATTTTGAGAACAGGTTGGAAGTCCTTTCTGAGGCCATCAAACTGAGTGCCACCTGTATTAATTTCCATGTCAATGTTTCCCAATCTCAGTAATTTTAAGTTGTGTGGACTTCAACAAAAAGCTGGGGAATTCTGGGAACTGAAGTCCACACATCTTAAAGATGCTAAGGTTTAAAAAGTGATGCAATATCTTAAACAAACACATACCTTTTTTGGGTTTTACAAAATATGTGATCTACACACTGGAAGACTATAGCTTTTTTAAAAAAGAGAAAGACAAATACTGGTATATCAACAACCAACACTATCTGAAGTATATTGTGGCTGAATGAGCAAAATGAGATGATTAATCCAAGAAAGTATAGGTATGGCATTGTTTTATCACATCATTTCATTAATAAACTATTACTGTTACAACAGCAAATGTAAGAGCATTGGGAGTCTACAGTATAGTTGCAGTGCTACACATGGGAAATGTGTGCTGTTGTGGGGTTTGTTTGTTTTACTTATTATGTTTTTAATTAATATTATTGTGAGCTACCTAGGATTACTTTGCATATAAGATAAGCAATCATATAACTCTTTAAATTTTATGCAAGGCATTTTATTTTGAGGCAATTTTAGGCACAATGTTATGCTGAACCAAATTTCTAGCATATAAAACTCAGGATGGAGCAGCGCCTGAAATAGGATATATAGGTAGTCTTTGCTTATCAATTGCCTCTTCAGCCAATGTTCAAAGTTATGAGCCCACTGGAAAAGGGGATTTATCCTTAAAACATGTGGCTATTGTAAAAATCCCGGAAGTCACTGATTGCAATTTGGGTGCTTGGCAAACAATGCACATTTACAATGGCCATGGAATCCTGAGATCATGTGATTGCCCTATGTGACCTTCATAGTCAACCTTCCAAGAAACTGGGAAGTTGCAAGTCATGGTCACATGACACTATGCTGCACAACCTCTAGTGATTTCATTAATGGCCACAGCCAGAACTGACATCATAAATCAGAGATTTTGCAATCTGAGGGGCAAGCAAGAGTCCATACCTAGAATACTTCTACTGACAGCCACATTTCTCTGGTGTTTGCATCCTACTGTTGTCCACTGACCAGATTGCAAATAGCTCCACTCTTTGGAGTGGTCAATACACTAATCAGGCTAGTGATGATTGATGATGCCCTGATCTCAGAAAGTCCAAGTGTTTCCCCCTTTCAACTTAGACCTGGAGGTAGGACATGTATCAGTTTGCATTGTATCTGACTAGCTAACTCTTCTTATAATTGTACATGTGCACTCTGCAAGCAAAGATAAAGGAATCCCACAGGTACAAATGTTGTAGATGGAGAGAAGGCAAAATTTTTCACCCAGAATCAGATTCTGGCAGCCTGTTTCATCTCCCCATTTGTTTCTGGCTCAGCACCCATTCTGAATAGTTAAAGAGGTTTAGAATAAAACGGATCAGTCCTCTGATAAACTAAATAATATTTCACTTAGTGGTTCATTATATATAAAATTATGTAAACCAGCAAGAATTTATGGATCTATTGTCATCCAGGCACTGCTACTTATTCCATGTATGGACTGCTGCAGGGTCTATTTTTCACTAAGCTATTGGAATCAATGGTAAGAAAGGACTCATTAGAATTTAAACGCCACTAAATCAGATACCTAGAACAAGATATAAACTACATTGTCTTGGTTGCGCACAGCCCAGGTGGCTGAACAGCATGAATTTATGCCAGAGAAGGCCAGCTGTCAAAAAATTGGCTAAACGTCCTTCTGTTTCAGACATTAGCTTATAAAGAAATTAAGAATTTAGTTAAACTAATTCACTTTTAGACGAGCTTGCCATCATAAGGCTGACAGTATTCCAGTAGCTCAATAGTCAGACACAGAGACTGTCAATGATCCTGCAAGCAATTAACTTTCTTCCAGCTCCTCAAAGCTGCATTATGTAGAAAGGGAGATGAAATCTTACCCGGGCTTTTCAGGATATGCCAAAACACAATGATGCCACGTGTTATAAGCTTTATCTGATTGCCAAAAATGATAATGGGACAATTGGATGAGCGGACGAGTGGCTGGGTGGGCCGGTTGAACAAGGCAGGGCACAATCAGCCAAATAATTTTGCATTTTGTACCAACAGCAACAAAATACCCATAGAGTCACTAAGCTCAATTACACAAAATCTAATGGGGACTGATGTGTAGAATAAGCTAATATTTCATTGACTGGGTAAATAAAATGGGTAATGAGTATTATGGATAGCTACTGGTTAAATTAGGTCAAAACCCATTAATATTGAAATTCACATTTATATAAAAAAATTGGACATATTCAAAACATTCAGCTTCATGGAGATCGGTATTTATTTTTTAATAAGGAGATGCCTTTGTGTCTGTCACAAGTTCTGATATGGAGCGGTTCTGTTGATTTCCCCTAGTTTAAGTCCCACTACCTGTACAGGATGGAACCATTTAATATTATATTTATAGAATACAAGTAGTTCTCGACTTTGATCACAATTGAAAACAGGATTTATATTTCTAAGCAAGGTGGTTAAGTGAGTTGTGCTTGATTTTACATTTTTTTTCTGCCACGGTTGTTAAGTAAATCACAGTAGCTCTTAAGTGAATTGTAAAATGAACCCAGACTTCCCCATTGACTTTGCTTGTTGAAAGCTGGCTGTGAAGATCACAAAGAGTAATTCCCATGATCCTGGGATGCTGCAGTTGTCATAAGTACACACTGTCTGCCAAGTACTCAGATTTTGATTGTGTGATCAAGGGGATGCTGCAGTGGTCATAAGTGTGAGGAACGGTTGTGCCATTGCAACTTCAAATGGTCACCAAATGAATAGTTGTAAGAAGAGGACTACTGGTAGTTAAACTTCTTTAAAATATATATTAAACTGAAAAAGGTTTCAGGTGATACAGTAGTCCAGGGGCCTTCAAACTTGACCCTTTTATGACTTGTGGACTTCAACTCCCAGAATTCCTCAGCCAGGAACACTGGCTGAGGAATTCTGGGAATTGGAGTCCACAAGTTATAAAAGGGCCAAGTTCGAAGGCCCCTGCAGTAGAGAAACAACATTGATTGAACTCCTAGATTTCCATTGGCAGGACCAGAATGAAGGTAGT